GAAGCTGAGAGAGTCCCAAAGAATTTGGACCCAAGAAGAAAAACACCAAGCCCATCATAATTGCATTATCCAAGATTAAAATGAAGGAGAGAATCCTAGAAGCATCAAGAGATAAGGGGACAGTCACCTACAAAGGAGTTCCCATCAGACTGTCAGCAGATTTCTCAAAAGAGACCTTCCAGGCAAGAAGGGGCTGGAAAGAAGTATTCTAAGTCATGAAATCCAAAGACCTACAACCAAGATTGCTCTATCCAGCAAAATTTTGATTTAGAATGAAAGGACAGATAAAGTGCTTCTCAGATAAGATCAAATTCAAGGAGTTCATCATCACCAAGCCCTTATTATATGAAATGTTGAAGGGACTTTTCTAAGAAAAAGAAGATAAAAGAGATGAACAGTGAAAGGACAACATACTCACAGTTATTAACAATGACATCGAAAACAAAAGCAAACTAAAAGGACAGCTAGATCAAGAGCAGAACCATAGAAATGAAGATCTCATGCAGGGTTAGCAACAGGGGAGTGGGAGGAGAGGGGGGAGAAGGTAGAGAAAATAAGTAGCATAGACGGTAGGTAGAAAACAGGGGGAGGGCAAGAATAGTATGGGAAATATAGAATGCAAAGAACTTGAGACACATGGTCATAAACTAAAGGGGGGGGAATGCTAGGGGTGAGGGGGTGCAGGGTGGAGGGGAATGAAGGGGGGATAGAACAACTGTAATGGCATAATCAATAAAATAAAAAATTTTTAAGAAGCCAAGGCTTTTGCTCCCCCTGAGAGAGCAGCCACTTGCCATTTTTCTCTACATGATTAGGTTGTCTGTGTGAATTTCTTTTGTTTCAGCTACAACACTGTGGACCCCAGGAACTGGGGTCTGTGACAGATCCTGGTTAAAGTCTTGTTGAAATTGCTTGTCTTTTGAAAGAATCAGCTCCTGGATTTATTGATGCTTTGCATTGGTCTTTTAGTTTCTATGTCATTTCATTTTGCCCTGATCTTGATTATTTCCTTTCTTCTACTTGCTTTGGGACAAGATGGGAGTTTTAACACCCACTCAATGTTAGGAAGCTTCACCATAATACCACACCTGTATTCACCCTAGTTTTCCATGGTTCTCTATTCTCATTGGTTGTTGGACTACCAGAGACTCGGATTTTCTGGCAGTTCTTGTTATTTTTTGCTTTAAGATTGCTTGTCACCTTTCTTGTGGTTGTGTGAGCAGACAATGTGAATCTATCTACAAGTCTTTTTTGGCCAGAAGCCCAAAAGGAAGCTTTTTAATTAAAAAAAATGAAAGCATCATTTTGTCAGTGGCTAAAAGCATCACTGACAGAAGGAGCACCTGCTCTTCCATCTCTTTTTTAAAATTTATTTAATTATTTTTCAAGTACAGTTTTCTGTTTTTTACTCCCATCCCAGCCCCCCCACGCTCCCTCCCTCCCTCCCATTACCACCCCCCTTAGATGTAGTCCATGTTTCCTTTATACTAGTTTGCATCTCTTTTAAAAGTATTTTGCCCTCGAAAATCTAAACTTTAAAATTTTTCTCTAAATATTAATGGAAAATTTAGTATCATGAATTAATGAATTCAATTTATTACAACAATTATATTAATGTGTTTTTTGCATTTTTATACCTGTGTCATGGCTAAATTTATTTATTATTTATTATTTATTTATTTATTTATTTATTTAATAAAATATATTATTATGGTTTATTTAATAAAGTGTCTTCTGCATCAGACTATAGTTTAAAAGCAGTTACATTTATGTGATTTGAGAAGAATGATGTACAATCAATAAGACTTCCCTGAAATTTTTTTTCATTGACTTTTCCTATCTTTCTGCTTAGCAATACAAGACAGTTCTCAGTTTACACAAACAGCATCCTTAAAACTGCGAACACGGAATATTAGTATATAAAGAGTGCCAGGCATTTACTAAATAAGTCACAGGCCAACAAGTTCAATTGTGCAGCTGTGAAATATATTGTGAAAGAGGTTTTAAAAGACTGGGTAATCTGCTGTGTTTCCAACGTGTCTTCTACTATCTGAAGAGAGTATTTGGTTTTCTTCTTACCTGAAGAATGATAAGCTCTGATTATATGACTAGCTGCCCAATTAGCATATTTTCTGTTATTCTATTGGTTTTTGCACTGGCTTTTGAATTAGAAGCAATATGGCTTGCCCATATGTGAAGTCCAATGAACCACAAAACTCTCAGCTTATTGTGGTTCAATTTCAATGTTTGTGCAAAAAAAACGTTCTTAAAAGCTCAATGTTTCCACATCCACTTGGGTGTGTTTAACCTCATTACACTGCTAACAGTATTAGTGGCTGTGCCCAAAAGTCATCATAATCTTCTCCGAACAAAAGGTTGCTTTAAGAGAGTCACATTCAGTTGATATAAAGCCCTGCAAGTTCATGCCAGGTTTCTTGTTCTCCAATAAATTGTCCCAGAATTATTCAGTTCCAGACTGGTCTCCAATCTTTTTCCCTGAGCACTTTAAATATCAATTTAAGGTCTTTCTTTTTCAGCCATGTTCATTTGATTTTCATGAACAATTTCATTCTACAACTGTACAGTTTCATCTTATATTTTCATGGCCTCAAACTCATGCCACTTGGTTAGTTGACTCTGGGACTGCCAGAGAACTCTATTCTCAACTCCAGCTGACAAAATAAGGCCAAGTCATTCAGCCAAAGATTGGGTCTATAATCATCACTTATTCATATGTGATCCAAACATATTTGCAAGCTTAGTAGCATATTCCTGAATTGATTTCTTGATGGGTTTCACAATTTGCTCAGTATTTCATAATATTTCTTTTCTCTATATTTTCACTTTTTATGATTTTTTTTCGTGAGGTACTGGATAACCCTGGGACCTTGCCAGTATTCTCAGAAATACTGATTAGTTTTAAAATTAAATGATCATGCCATTGGTTGTGTCTCTGTGTATTGATGTGTCTGTGTCCATGTCTTCTGAAAATAATTAAAAGTGGTTTATAATAATTCCTCAAGTTAATTAGCTTACACAAATTAAAATAAAACATAAACTAACCCAATTTTAGTTTATTAATGACCAATGTTTTTCATAAATAAAATAAATTTATTTTCCTAAATCTATTAATAACATAGCTAAAGAATGAGTCAAAAACATAATATTGATGTGTACACATACCACTGAAATAATTTCATGTTTCTAATGACACTAAATGTGGCTTCCATAGAATAGACTTTATTGTTCACACAGTAAAAAATATCAAATGCGTCTTTAAGAAGAACTGTTGTGAACAATGTGTGCATATGTTGTTCAAAAAAACTAAATATGTGTAAAAATGAATTGCTTGCCTTTCTTCATACTAATTAATGGAAATATCCTTATACATTGAAAATATTTGTAATTCAGAAATAACTTCTTCAACAAACTATTTACATAGCATCCAAATGCAGTAGATAAAACAATAACTAAGAACATAAGAATTAAAGAAATATCTTTAAACCCAAAGCATACTATTCTTCATTTCTGTGGAGTGGTCTTTGTGATATCTTCCAGGGTCTATTCTCTGGGCCCTAGAGGACAGCTAGGGTGGTTGAAGAAAAACCACCAAACGAAGTGGATGTGGAAAGAGCATCTCCCTTGCAATAGAATAGCTAGCTGCCCAGGCACTAGAGTCTGGATTGAAATTGAAGTAGGGGATAAGGACAAGTGAAAGTGAATTTTAAAGGCTGAAATTATAAAATTAAGAGTCTGCGTGGCTCTGCCAACCACTTGCCATGATAAGATAAACTCCAGGGAGGTCGAGTCCACACTGTGAATGTTTGAGGGGACAATGCCTCACTTGAGGGAGGGACATGTAAAGAAATCAGAGTAGAAATGAGAGTGTAGTGGGCAAAGCAGTTGAATGACTAAATCCAAGAGAGACTTCCCAAAGCGTTCCTGATGTGGACAAGTGCTCTAAAGAGGAATCAGTTGGGATTCAGTAGAGAGTGGGTGGATTGAGTGGGTTCTTTTATTATGTAAGATGGTCAGGAAAACCTCCATGTTTTTGTGACATTTGAGTGAGACCTAGAAAGGAGCAAATGGGTTTATGGAGGACTTGGCTGGTGACACCTGATTTGGCCTGATTAGTTACCTAAATGCAGAGGAACTGACTTTCACCACATATTTGTCTCTGATGAAGGTTTTCTTTTTTTCTAAATAAAACATACAATGAAAGTTTTAACAGTCACCTAAGGTTAGAAAGCTTCAACCTGAGAAATCCTCTCTAGCTCTGAGTGGTGTCCTCTTTTCTGAGAGATACCACAGACCAAGGAGGTCAAACTGGATATTACTGCTGTGAAGTAATATCACTTAACAAATGTATTACTAGTCAAACATAGCTTCATAAAGCAGGAGGTCATTTTAAATTTTATGGTAATTTATCTGAACTAAAAAACATAAGCTAAAGTGTTTATTTTATTTCAAAAGCTTACAGTTAGATATTACTAACAAAAGGAACAAAGTGTATTGGAGTGATGGAAATAATTTTATGGACATATACATAAGAATTCTCAAGGCTTTAGAAATCTTTTGAAAGAAAGAGAAAGACTCAAATCAGTGTTGCTACTCATACCAGTGTCCTCTTGTCCATTCCCAATGCAAACAACAGTGTCCAGGTACCCTCCACAAATTTACATGAAGAAGGACAGAGCACAAATCTGTGAGCTCATCACCTGTTCCCACTGGTTATCACAGGACCACTGCTGGCTCTCTGTGGACATGGTACAAATGAGACCAACCAGAGATGACAGTTGTCTGAAATATGACCATAATTCAACAATAATTACAATGTGTGGTCACATTTTTAGTGTTTATTGATGCACTGCAAATCTTTTAAGAAATAGTCATCTTCAAAAAATCTATTATAATGCTGCAAAACTTTTTATTTAGAATTTAATAACATATGGCAAGAAAGGAGGGTCACTCAAATTTCACATCCAACATAACAGGCCAACTCTCAGTAGACCCCATGGGGTTGGAAACTTCACACCAGTAATATCCAGCATCTTCCCTCTTCACAGGGCTTATGGTGAGGCTTCGATGATCTTCAGATACCTTCATGCGCTCATTGAGCTTCAGATCCATGCCCTTGAACAACCAATGGATGAAGAGTGCATTTGTGTTGCAGGTCAAGATGGCAGTATCCTCATTCTCTCTGACCGTGGTGTTACTGGCTACCAGAGAGACCACTAGTTTAGGCTCTGTAGAGAAACAGAGATTGTCACTGTTTAAAAATAAGCTTAATACATGGACCCATGCTACTTACTCAGATCTTAGCAACTCACAAGCCACAGTGAGCTATGCAACAGCCACCAGAGTATGTTCGCAACATTTACAGAAGGACAGTTGTCTAAGTTCAGGTGAAATTATGTTAGGAGAGATCTGCAGCTAGTCTCTGGTCACATGTAACCCCAGTATGATTCCATTGACATTTCCTCAGTCATCTGTGTTAGCAATTCCCAAAACCCCTTCCCAGCTTATACACCCAATACCCTCAGAATCAGATAGAATTTTTTCACTCATGAGCTTTTATTGATCTTTCCCTAGGACTTCTTCCCCCCACCCCAAGAAACATCAGGTCCCATTTCTTAGTAAAATTTATATCCATGTTGTGGAAGGCAGGCTTATCAATTTGTCCATCTCTTGAGCCAAGGAAGTTTACAGTAAGTGAAAAAGTATTTAGCTTTTGTTAAGTAATTTATAAGGTAGTAAACACTGCTCAATGGAGAAAAGTCACTCTTTTTAACTAATGAGTTGCACAGCAATATCTGCAAAAAGAAGACAAGTGACATGAGTCATTGTCTGACACCACACACAAAAATTCAAAGAGATCAAATTTTAAGTTTACACCTAAAACTATAAAATGCTTAGACAAAAGGATAGGGAGAAGCATTATGACATCGATTTGGCAATGATTTTTATCAATATGACAGTAAGAACAAAGGTAAAAAATAGACAACTTGGAATGTGTCAAAATGAAAAATTTGTTCTTCATCAAAACCACAAGTTGAAAGGTGACCTATGAAATGTGAGAAAATACTTGGCAAATCATATGGCAAATAAAAGGTTAATATCTAGAATATGCAAAAAGTCTTCTACAACTCAACAGTCACCATAAAACCACATACAAACTGACTTAGAAATGAACAAAACACTTCAATAGACATTTCTCCAGAGAATATATTGAAGAGGCCAAAAGTCACAGAAAAAATGCTCAACACCACCATTATTTACAAAAATGAAAGTCAAAACCCTCCAAGTTGACTTAGTTGCTTGTGATGTTGGGTGTGGTTAACTTTGCTCTGCAGGTAAGAAAGTAAAACTTGTCCTGTGTAGTACCTTTCCTTTCTCCAAAAGCTTTTTCAAACAGAGTTGGCTCCTCTCACATCTCAGTCAACTTGAGTCTTTGAAAAAACCCAAAAGGTCTGTGCATCACTAGAAAATGCTTGGGAATCTGGGTGCTCAGAGAACATATGGCCTCTAGCTCTGTGTGTAGTGGAACCTACAGACTTTCCCAGGTGTCATTTAAGTATCAGTGTTAGGTTATGAAAAGACAAGACTTTGCATCAGTTGCACCCTTGTAATTGTGATTCTTCATGGACCCTGACTGCCTGGTTGAAAATAAGTGTTTCCTTGCAGCTGTACAGACTTCTATCACCCAGCTGAAATGTGTTTCTATGAGGCACCATTTCCCAGGACATCCCAGAGGCAGGGGTTTGTGCAGAAATAACATACCACCCAGGAGCAAGCTGGTGGTAAGTTGACTGCTTAGGCCTCTGGGCCAAAATGTATGTCAAATCTTTCAAGGTGAGTGTGACCCAAATGATTCAGAATAGGCCACCTGAGCAAGAGAACTATGCAGTAACCCTGATTGTTACTTCAGGTAATTTGGTTCTAAAGAAAAAATACATTATTTTTCTTTTTCTCTTTTTGTCCACTACACAGAACAAAGTGTACTCCTATTAGCTGATGATACCTAACACAAAAGAATCCACACCACTTCGTGGAGAGAGAATCTCCTGGGCTGATCCCTGGTGAATGAGGACCTTCCAGGAGCATCGTTTTTCTGTTTCTTTCTGGGGATGCTGACCTTTTCTTGAACCTTCCTAAGTCACACAGGACAATCAGGAATATCCAAGAACATCATCTAATGGTGCACTCCACACCCGGACAAAGATGATACTGAGTTCTAATTTTGCCAAGATATGGCTCTTGATCCTAAGCCCTAGCTGGTGACAAGCACCAGAGCCTTGTGACTTAGGAAATGGTTAAAACATTACACACCCAGCCTTTCCCAGGAATCATGAGCCTGAGCTAACACAGGCTCATGATTCCCCACAGTCAATATTTCTTGGACAGTATTCTGGAGAGTAGTTTCTGAACTGAGCTTGGGAAGAATTTCTGGAGGCCTCTCAGACCATGCTCTGACCTAGTACATCAAGGTCATTCTCAGGGTCAAGTTCTTAGGCAGGTGCTCAGGATGCTTAACTGAGACAAATCCCACTTTTCTGAGTTACTTCCATCTTAGACATACTCTTGTCTGCTTTAACTATCTGCAGGGCTTGAATTTGGGAAGGAAACTGAAATCTTAGGAAGTTTGTCTACATTCTGGGTATCCCTGCATTGAATGTCAAATCCCAAACTGAAACAAAATGCAGAGGGGGGGATGCAGGCAGGATTACCAGTCCTGTGTGTGAAGCAGAAGTCACCCCATCCAATACCAAGAGGTCAGAGAGAAATCACTCACCGTATACAGTAAGCCTTCCAAATCCTATTTCTTTTCTTTGATTTGTAAGGTAGACTACTATAGTGTACATTCCTGCATCAGCTTTGGTGACCCTCTTTATCAGCAAGGACCAATCTTGTTTTAATACCACTCGTCCAAATGCAGGATCCAATAAATACATTCCTGGCTTTTCTGAAAGAAATGCTATTATATTATTTCTGTTCGTGCCTTCACCCTTGTACCACAGGAGGCCTGAATGATTAGGAGGCTTATTGCGGACACGTAGAAGCACATCCTTCCCTTCAGCAGCATAGGTAGACACAATAGCAAGTTGAGCTGTAGTGGGCTGGCACCAGAAGTTGAAGAGTGAGACTAGAAAATAAGAAAAAAAATCTATGTTTGTATGCAAGTGTTGTGAAGAAAAGATGAGGCCCTGAATCCTGAGAAGGTCTCTTTAATCTCTCAGCCTTTGTCTGTGTGTGTGTGTGTGTGTGTTCCATGGTCAAGGTCAACAGCATGACCCCCATTACTTGAGCACCTCTGAAACTGTTATCTTATCTCTTTCAGACACTTGTTTCCAGGTGTCTTCCTGTTTTCCCCCTCACTGTGCTCAGACTCCTTCTGACACTCAGGGGCATTTTTGAAAACACCTTTCCTGACTTATTTCTCTAAAGGTGTTCTGTCTTCACTTTTTGATCAGAGTCTGCTCTGCCTTTTTTCATGGATTTTCTGGGTACCTGACATCATATCTAGATTCTTCATTTTCCCTCTCTTCTCCATAGAACATGGGGCCAATGAAAGCAGGACCACATTGGATCTTGTACCTTCAGTAAATTCAACAGGCTGCAAGTACTTGGAATTGAGTAAATAAGCAATTCAAGCTTCTACCTTCTGGGGTATATTGGACCATTTCTGAGGTTGGTGGTAAAGACCATGTCTAGCACCCCTGGATAAATTTTTTCTAGTGTTTCATGATATAAATCAGTATTATTATTAACAGTTTTCATAATTCAATACGCAATGATGAATAATAGAAAATAATTAGCAATTGAGATTTTTCTGCCTCTCACCACTTCCAGATTATTAGATTTTCCTCTTGCTCAGCCCTTTTCCTCATCCTACTCTGCTCCTTTATCTTTCACCTTCATTTCCAAATAGAAGCCTTCCTTTTTTTCTAGAGTACTGGCCTCTTCAGAAGATTATAGCTAGTCTCTGAGTCAGATCCTTAGTCTACCCCAAGGAATCATCTCCTACTTACCGGCCAACAGGAACCCTTGCCAGTGGACATGTCCTTTGTGGGTAGAGACTGATAGCGATCCCATAATGTCTGTTGTCTCCTCTGTGACTATGTCTTTGAGAGAAGCTTGAGGTTCAGTGGGGCTCACAGGCACCTTTGTCCAGAATGGTACAACCTTCTGTGTGTCCTAACTGTGAGCTGAGCTTTATTCTGGGGCGTGTTTACTATGCTTGTCATATGAGCTGGGGGCAGAGTCTGGGCAGAGGACACTCCTACTCCATGCCCTCATTCTGCCACCCTTGTACCTTGTAACCAATACTGCCCTTCTATAACTTGGTTCCCTGGAAACTCCTAAGGTCTCTCAACATCACACAGATGTACACATGCATATAAACACTCACAATTATTCACTCTCATGCTGAGTTTGGAAAAGCAGAAGCCAGGGTTGTCAGGATTTGGGGCATTTTCCACAGTTCCCTGTAGGGTGCACATTGGCCTTTTCCACAGTTTCTTTCTATCACATTTAACTTTTCCCTTCAAAGTAGCAGTTCTAGAGCTAAGACAGAGAAACATCGCCATGGTTGGTGTAGCTCAGTGGATTCAGCAGGGGCTGTGAACCAAAGGGTTACCAGTTAAATTCCCAGTCAGGGCACATGCCTGGGCAGCAGGCAACATCCCCAGTGGGGGCCACATGAGAGGCAACAACACACTGATGTTTTCCTCTTCTTCCCTCTTTCTTTCTCTCTCTCTGAAAATAAATAAATAAAATATTTATCAAAAAAAAAAACTATCATAGACATTGTCACCACTGAAACCTTTACTAGGCATCAGACCACCTGTGAAACTTTGGAAACATCACAATGCCCAAGTGACACCTTAAACACACAGCTTCAGCAGCTGTCCCACTAATTTGAGTGCCCATGCAAAATGGAATCTTTTGACATAAAGACAGGACCACTTCTCCTGCTCCGCTATGCACAGGGGAAGACTCCAGATTTTATTAAACTGCAGATTCTGAAATGACAGGGATGCAGTGGATCAGAGATGCTACATCTAACAAGCTCTCAAGAGAGGTTGCTCTTACTGACATGTAGGGTGTGCTTGCACTGGCAAGGCTTATAGGGGTCCATTTATCCCTGAGAGGATGAGCCACTTATGCCCCCATTAGCCTTTGGTGACTTGGTCTTGGATCTGTTCTCACCTCAGAAACATACCCAGATGTCATCAAAACTGAGGCTTATGTCTACTTGTAACACATAAACCCAGCTGGAATCCAGTCTTCTTCATGTTCTCGAATGCTCTGTTTAGGTTTTGGTTTCTCCCAGCAGGAAGGTCACAGACATGAATTTGAGAATGAGAAGAAGTCAAGCATGGAGATAATGGTATAGGAGGCCTGCCTTCTATCTCAGGCTGTCAGCAGACTGGATTTTGCTTCCAGGGAGAAAGACTCAAGAGTAGATTTCTCAGCAGGATGTGCAGTTTTGGATGTGAAGTGGGGGAAGTCCTGAGTGTCCCAGGAAGAAAAGACTGTGGTGAAAAGTCAGGTGCCTCTGTGCTTACTGTTCCTCACAGAGCAATTTCAAATAGATCGTTCCTCTCCACGTCCATTTGTTTGACCTGTCCTTGTGCTGCTGCTGACTGTTGGGACAATCTTTGATTTCTGCCTGAGAGGCTTTCTGGTGGGAAACTCACCTTGCCATGGTTGATGCTATTGATAGGGTACAGAGCAACACAGAAACCTCTGAGGGACAAGGTGCTCCCTGTCTGTGTCAAAGTCAGAAAAATCCCAAACTTGAAGCAATGTACTGAATTTATCTGAGCAAAACTAACCTCATATGCCTGGGAGAAAGGACTCAAGTTCTTTGAAGAAAGGCAGTTTTGGGGATTACTTTGTACATGATAATCAAAGTACAAAGTGAAAATGCTGCCTAGAATGCATTAGGAGGTGTGAAATAACATAGCAGGGAAATCTCCATAAATAAAAAAAAATAACACAAAAGGGAGAAACATGTATTTTACATTGATGAGTACAAGATAATGAACTTTTACAAGACACAGATGAGGTACAGAAGACCAGATAACATTAACGGTCTGTGGTCTCATACACTTAGTCCAGACCCTAGGCCTTCAAATTGTCCAGCAAAGGAAATCACTCAAATATGTCAAAGTTACTCTATCCAAGATGTAACCCCATCACACCCCACCCAAAAAAAAGGATCAGAGCTCACTCAAGCTAAAGACTGACATTTCCTAAGAAAATATAGGCCTGGGATGTAACAACCTGCCATCATGTGCCCAGCTAGAAATTTCTGATCAGACTATCCTGTGAGCTTGTCAGACCTTCCATGAGGCCCTCTGCACTTGTCAGGGTTGCTGCACAGCTCCTTGTTATTAACAGTCTCTAGATATAGCTGGTGGGACAGAGCAGTAAAGAGGGAAGGCCCAAGAAAAGCCTGTTGAAACAGGGGTTGAAAATTCGCCTCTTTCATCTTCTTGGCCAGGTTCCAGTGTCCAATTCCCTTGTGACTCAATGTTTCCCCCCCTAGAGGACAGAAGTAGAACTCCAGACAGTGTCAGGGGATTTACAGGGACGCTGATCAGTGCAGGGTGAGCCCAGTGAAAAGGCAGGCATCATTGCCAGTACTCTGGGTCAGGAGAACTATCCCACCAGGAGAATGTGCTGTTTCACACAGAGCTCTCTGTTTTCAAATGTTAAACAGAAGGGTCTGGTGAAGGTTCTGCTGTGGCTTTGAGAACATGCTGACCTGGAGGTTTGATCCCCAAAGTGTCCTGTGTGTCCTCCATCACTACATTGAGATTTTGCATATGAGTCATTTCTGTGTCCCTGTCTTCCCACAGTGGCTAGGAGCTGGAGCATCTCCATGTGCATACTCAACCAGGCCCTGTGTTGTTGTTGTTGTTGTTGTTTTTATTAGGAGAACAGAGGTTTTATTAGAAACCTCATGACCTCTGAGATGAAAGCCACCACAGATTCTGGCTTCTTCTGCCCCATTCAGCACAGGAAGTTTCCCTTGTTCTCCAGGATATTATGGACTAGAGACATGTTTTCAGAGACAACAGGCAGGTGTTCCACAAATTAAGAATTCTGAGAATGAAGTCTTCCCTGATCCCTATAAGATCAGGGTGTGCTCTTTCCTCTCCTGGTAGGGGTCTGCTCTTCCAACTCTATCAGGTGTTGAGGATCCTGAGTTTCTGTCAGGTCAGGTTTCTGTGAGAACAGGAAAAACAGGCCCTGGGTGGTGAGACATAACCCACAAAGTGGGCCTGTGGAAGACTGTGATTTTGGAGGAATAATATGCATACCAGCCTGTCACTATTAGGAGGATTCTTTCATTCTTTCTGACTGTATGAGAAGAAAAAGCCTGACCTGAGGTTGTCCCCAAGGAGGTGGTGGCCTCCTCTCAAGCTGACACCAAGTATTTCAGTTTTTCAGAATATAATGTGACTACAAGTGTCACACACAGTGACAGGCATACATTGTACAGTTTCCCTTAATGATGTAATGAGTGTTTACAGGGCATCTGACAAGTTTCAGGCTCTTCACTGGACCCTGGAAACTCCAAAGAGAATAAGACATATGTGGGCCCTGTGCTCCTTGACTTTACCTTGTAACAGTAACCAGCTCTCATATAAATCATGGCTCTAAAGAATTATCCATAAACAAGTGAAGGGTCATAAAGGGAAACTTCTGGAGCATTAACAAATGTACTTGAGTTTTAGCTGGTCTGAGGATCACAGAAAGCACTCTGAGAAAGGACTCTTAGATAAGACCTGGAGAGTTAGTGGCCATTTTCTCCTTGATAAACAAAGTGTGTTTAAAAATAGTTGCCTGCACAGGACTGATCTTTGGTGGGCTGACCCTTGGCTGGATGGTAGAGTGGACACAGTCTATGTGGAAAGGTGGAAGAGATAGGGAGATTGTGGAATGGTTGATGCTGGTGAGGTTGCTCCTTGCCTGTCTGTGGGTGCTGCTTATTCAGGGAGATCAGCAATGCTCCATAAGGCTCTAGCCTGCAGAGTAATTCTTCTTCCCCTGCTGGACACACAGAAAAATGGGCAAGAATGGCCATGTTAATCTTAGGTATTTCTTTGTTTGGTTTTGTTCTTTCCATTCAACTTGTACTTTAGACGATATTTAATTTATGTATCATCAATTTTAATATAATTATTGACTTGTACTTGAATATCATAATCTTAACTTATTGAAAGTATGCAATGTATACAGTGTTTTCAGATGCATGCACTGGAGAAGTTGTACTATAAAAATAAAGACCATATTCTTTACTGTTAGTCTCTCATGCCCTCTTGTAATCTCTTTTATTCTTCTCCTCTTCACCTTCTTTTTTAGTGTTAAGGAAATTTTTATCAGCTGTTTTTTACTATAAATTCTCTTGCATTTTCTGTATTTTTCAAATTTTTATTATAATGTATTGTGGACCGCTCTGCTTGGTCCCAGGAATTGTAACTCTCTATCCCCTGTGGCTAAGGATGAGTCAGTGACCTCTAGAATGTGAACCTCAGGAGACAAAGCTTGTCTTTGGTAGCAAATGCTGCCTCTGTTTCCTCCCTGCACTCACAGCATGGTCAGAAGTCCTTGATGAGTAAGACCCCTCCAAGGAGGGGCAACTTAGGCCAGACACAATCACTTGGGAGGCCAGCATGGAAGGACTGGGGGTTGCTGAAACAAAGAGCAATGGACTCTCCCTCCCCGGCTATGACAAAGCCCTAGTCCCCTTGTCCCCTAGGAGAAGCGCTTCTTGGCTCTAATCCCCTTAAGCCTAAATACCTGATGGGGAGGGGTACAGCTTCTTGCCTTGCTAGAGTGGGTCCTGGGGAAAAATCTGGCATCACAAAGACTTCCTGATAAACCTGTGAAATCTGCTCTGATGAGAGTGCTTTCATTCATATGTTAAGAGTTCAAGCAGGAAATCCTAAAACTCTGTTCCTGACAGACTCTGACTCAGGCTAAGCCTTCAGATTTCTTTGAGATGTTATCTACTGTTTGATTCTTGCCACCCTGTATTCCTGTGTATTGCAACTCAATAAACATCTTTGGAGGAAGGGGCTCAATGTCTTTTTCCCCTGAGAAACTGGCCACAGCTCAATGCCTTTTTCCTCTGGGAAACTGGCCACCTCT